TATCCACTGAAGCGGGCCGGGGGAGTGAGTAATATGCAATATAACAAAGCTAAGGGTTAAGGCTGTAATAGGTCAAGGTCTTAATCCAATGATACGTAGTTCTGCATAACAGAAAAGAAGAGATTTTCTTGTTCCAAAAGAACATAACCTTTCTTTTAACAGACAGACATGCTGTGGGCAGACAGAAGAATAGAGAGAAAAGAGGGGTGGCAGACTTGCAGTGGCATACAGACAATAAACTACGTCAGCTGTACTCCAGAGCTTCAACTCTGGTGCTACATTCATCAGGTCAGATATGTATGGTACTGCTATTTTTTTTTTAAAAAAAACTCTGGTGCTACATTCATCAGGTCAGATATGTATGGTACTGCTATTTAAAATTTTCCGGAACACACCCTCTTGGATAGTTGGATGCCTTTCAAGCCGGATCGCATTCACGTACCTTGAACGGCAGCTTGGAACTTCAACCTGATCTGAGCTGTGAGCTGACTTTTGCAAAACTGAGTGAGTATTTATATAATGTTCATGCATGACCAATGCCAAGCCAGTCAACAATTTTCGGCTTATAACAGTAAACCACCTTGATCTTCTGTGTTCCATTCCATCTCAGTCCTACGTCATTTTTTTTTTTTTGCAGTACTGCTAAAACTATACATATAACATATGGCCCTGATGATTTTCGCTTAGTGAAGGAGTACAGTAAGTATTAGTAGTTACTTGTTTTGGTTTATTTCATATCGTTTTCTCCTTTTAGATCTTTCTACTAACATTTGAAAAGGAGTACTAATAAATCATTTGCGCTTCTCAACAAAATGAAGAAATATACATGCACGTATATATATCTTGTGTCTGTATTCATGTATATAGGTAATAATATGGCATTGTTGTCGTTTGGGAACACAAAACTATTTCTCCGTTCTTGTGCAGATTGAGTTGTTTGCTTCGGTGGTCCGAGCTATCTATCCTGCATGTGGGGCGTGCTGGCGCAGCTGGTTTCACGCTCTTGTATAGGCCGTCTGCAGAACGAACAGTTCTTCGGTACTGTGTGCTGCTCAATGTACGTATTGATCCTGATGTGTGGTACGTACGTATGCCTGTTGCATAGATATACAATTGCTTTGTTGGTCGTTTTCAAAAAAAAATTAAGACACAAAGTACTACTACTTCAGAATGACAAGACTAGATACATGTGCACACACTGTTTATCCTAAGCCTTGCAGTACAACATGTGACCTTTGAGATGTACAATTTACGTGCACACATTTACTATTACTGCTAGGGCCCGTCGCGGTGACACATCAACTGCAGTTCCTTGTTATGGTAGCGGAGAGGTGGCCAATGAAGGACTACGACATATAGAGACAATAGGTGGGCTTTCCCATTAGGCACACGCATCCATTTTTTTTTAATTTGTGAAACTGCAGCACATTCATGTGTGTTGGTAGTCGATCTCATATATATATCGTCGTCACATTCATATGGTTTGTGAGAAATATAGATGAAGGCATTGTTTAGTTTATTCCCTAAAGTTTATCCCTATCATATCGGATGTTTGACACATGTATGGAGTATTAAATATAGACTACAAAAATAACAAATTATATAGATTGCGATTAATTTGTGAGACGGATTTTTTAAGTCTAATTAGCCTATGATTTGACAATGTTGCTACAGTAAACATGTGCTAATGATGGATTAATTATGTTTACTAAATTCGTCTCACGGATTACTGAGGACTTCTGTTATTTATTTTATTATTACTATCCGAACACTCCCATATGACATCACGATGTAACATCTAATGTGACATTCCTAAATTTTACTCGCTGAATTTAAACACCACCGAAGTTGTGATATGCTCTAGACACCCGGATAGAAAGTGTTAAATAGGAAATAAAGTATATAAATGAACATTGTGATCTCATTGTCAATAGTTACAATCATCCTATATTCTTTATATTAGATTTAGTAGCGCAAAATATTCGGTGCAAACCACCCATTTCGTGCAACCGTGACAACCCCCTTGAAATACATTACTATAAGTTCTAACTCTTTTTTTTTTCAAAATGATGCATGTCGATTGCCCATCTAAATACATAACTATATTGTTGCAAAAGTTGAGGTGCAAACTCAATGTACAAAAATTTATATGAAAATAACAAAATTCGGGTGTATATGCATTGGAAGGCAAAAGTTATGTGATTACATATGCATCTGAAATTTATCATTTTTCATATGAATTTTCAGAAATTGATTTTGCATGTTAGCTTTTGCAAAAATGTATACATCTACATATTCACTATGGATGTGCATCATTTCAAAAAAAAAAGTCTATGTATGTGTTCAAGGGGTTTTCATGATTGCACTAAATATTTTTGTCATTTAGTATAGTAAACAAAAGCATGGGTCTTCAAAGATCAATAAGGGGCATGTGAAAGATAAACAAACCATTGTACTCTTGTGGTGTTGTGCTTAACAATTTTAGTCGTCAGCTTTCTCAAATGATACTACGCCACCATTAGTCTAGGTCTAGTTCTGTATGTGATTCATGGCTTGTTTCGACCCCGGCTTCTAAAAATTAGCACTATGTTTGGAGGTTAATTAGAAGGACTAAACATGAACTAATTTTAAAACTAGTTGCATAAGCGGTGACTAATTGGCGAGACAAATCTATTAATCCTAATTAGGCCTTGATTCGCCTATGTTTGTTGTAGCACCATATATATATATAAGCTAATCATGACCTAATTAGGATCAATAGATTTATCTCGCTAATTAGTCACCACTTATGTAATTAGTTCATGTTTGATACTTCTAATTAGCGTCTAAACACAGTGGTAATTTAGTGCTAAAGATCCAAACAGGCCCTTATCATTTATCTACCTTAACATAGAGTCTTCTAATTATATGCATGTGTCATTGTGCGCCCTCTAGTATTATATATGCTGCTCGTCCTTCTACTAAACCTTGGAGGTTTCATTGACCATGCATCTATCCGGACAATAAGACCAATCTAGCATCCCTGTCAGCAAAATCGATCAAAGTCAAATGTAGCAATAATGAAACTACATAAATTTAAAATATGCTTAGTAGATAAAGTTAATATATTCTGAAAAGAATGCTTTTAATAGACAAATTGCAGATAAGTTGCATACCATCATATTATTGTAAATGGAAAAATGGGTTCATATCTGCAAGCTGCATGGCGTGCACACAAGTTACCACGTGTACGCCCCGATGCAATTCTACATTTCTTTAAAAATGCACATATTTTTTCCAGTAAATTTGTTAGATACACATAAACATCATATGTTAAGATATTTAATTTACATTTGTGCAACAAAAGTTCATATGTGCCTAATAAAAAAACACAAGGGATATTAAGCATATATCCTTTCATTACGGAATGTACTAGGAAATATGTTTATGGCAGGTATGTATACTTCAACATGATGTTCACGTATGATTTTTAAAAACCTTTTTGAGATGCACAAAACATACTTTAATGTTGATACACTCACCTGAGTGTTTAAATCAGCAGGCCCCCCTTATGTTAACATCAAGGTAGCTACATTTGTTGACAAAATTAAGATGCCAATGCACCATCTCACTTTAACCTGATTATGATGTCTCTATATGGACCTATGGCTTTTTTGTCGGCCGTGCAAGCAATGGCTATTATTACTTGAAGAGCATGAATTATTCAATTGGCCAGATTTGAACTAATGGACGACATTTGATGTGCCTCTGAAACCCTAGCACTCCCTCCATCCCAAAAATAAATCAGCTTCATTCTAAAGTTGTCTTCAGTTAAACTATCTTAAGTTTTACTGATTTTATAATGAAAATCATCAACGATCACACTAAGTACACTACGAATATGGTCAACTTGATACTAGTTTAGTGTCATAAATATTTGTGTCCTTTTTATAAATTTGGCCAAACTTAAAATAGCTTGACTTTGGACAACTATAAATTGATTTACTTTGAGAGATGGAGGGGGTAATAAATAACCATAGCTTTCAACATATACTCTATGATACTAAAGATTTGATTAACTAAGGAGAGTCGGATAGTAAGTATGCATGAATCATGATGTCCAATCAAATAGCAAGTAGCAATTGATAGTTTGTATACGAACTAAAATAATCTTGCATGATCTTTGGAATGTGTGGAGGTGCCAATAGAATTTAAAAATATCTACTGTACTTATGAAAATGTAATCAGAAAACAACCAGAATATAGTTTTTTTAGCCAAGATTATTATTACTACATAGAAAAATATGGGGCGTCAAGGAACTCCAGCAGACGAGAAATGATGTCAACCTAGGGATAGAGAATTCGAGATGTACAGAAGTAGTCTGAAAAGTACGAATCAGATTTGCAGCTCATCAAGAAATTAGTGTAAATAGAAGCAATTAGATAAATGATTAATAATAGGAGGAAGTTCTAACTCAACTAAATGATCGGCTTGTTTGATCCATGAATGATGTAATTATTTTATGAGCATCCCATGAATATAAAGCCACGCCATTAGGTGCAGATTTTAACATGCATACAAACGGCAACAAGGAAGAGAAGAAATTGACCTTGAGGGACTTTTACCTAGCAAAAGGCTCTCTTTAATTTCAGCATGTTATAGCTTCAGCCTTCAGCAGTTTTTTTTTTCATTCTTTCATCGAACAACTGAACTACAAAGCACTTGCTTTGTGTCCATCACCAGATACTATTTGGTCTCGTTCACCAGAGAGATTCAGTTTGGAAATTACAGAATCGACACAGATTAGTTCCATTAATGAATCAACACAGTGCATGCTAGCTATAATACATCATCATGCGATGACCAAACGAAGTTCATCTCGTCACACAGCCAATTACGAAGTCTAGAAAGAGAAACACGCATAGATTAACACAACAAATTATTGAGAAGCTCATGGGAGGGAAAAGGATAGAGTAAGTTGAAAGAGTAGTTCTAGTAGTACCTAGTGCGACCGTGTTCTTCAGTAGAAGCGTGAGTTCTGCTGAAAGACGACTCCACCAAGTTCCCATTGTTCTTGGCAGTAGTAGTTGCCGCCGCCGCCGCCGCCGCTGTATCCTCCTCCACCGTTGCCAAAGCCTAGGACCACGTCGCTCGGCCCTGTGATTTCTTGCATCCTTTCTCTATTGTTGAGAGTTGATGAACACCTCTCCCTCTCCTCCAATTCAGCCCCCGCAGCACGCGGCATGTTCATGGACGACGATGAGTGGTGGTGGTGGTTCAAATGGTTCGAGCTCAGCCTGTCGCTCGCCACCGAGGCAGCCGCCGCCTCCACGTCAATTGCTGATGCAAGCTTTACCCAACGCATCCGGTGCTTCTCCTTGGTTCGCTCCCTCGCCCTCTCCCTCGCCTTCGCTCTCGTCTCCTTGTCGGGGACCGGGTGCGCATTATTCCCCAATTTTCTTGGCGGCTTCGGGGTGGTCGCCGTCTTCCTTGACTTGGCCGGCTTCTTCCCCTCACTGCGGCAATTACCCTTGGGCTTCTGATCTCCTCCTCCCAGCTGCTCCGCCGGGTTGTGCTTGCCGTCGACGGAGAGGCTGCTGGAGCCGTCCTCCACGCACTCCGACGACGCGTCGACGTCGTCGGCCATGATCTCCTGGATGGCGGCCTTGGACGTGTTGAGGAGCCATTGTACCGTCTTGCTGGCCTTGTCGAAGCCAAGCATGTCCTGGAGCGCGAAGAACTTGCGGGCGACGTCAAGGGGGAGCCGCATCCGACGGTCCCTCATCCCGCCGGCGGTGCATATCTTGCTGTGCCGGTCTTTCCTCGCCGCGGCCGCGGCCGCCGCCCTGTCGAGGCTGGCGCTGACGCCGGCGTCTTGTGCACCACCACTGGCGTAGGTGCCCAGCTCTGTAGCCAGCGCCGGCGCCTGCTCCATCAGCGGCTGCACCGGCAGGTCCGGTGAGTTGATCACGGCTTGTGGAGGGGTGGCGGCGGCGGCACTACCGATCTGGTAGCTCAGGTGAAAGCTGGCGTCGGCGGCGAAGGGAGGGGAGCATGGGTAGCAGTAGAAGCTGCTGGATTGGTCCGGCTTTGGGGAAGGCGGGCTGAACTGCAGCTGTTGGTAAAGCGGTAAGTCCATGGGGCTTGAGGAATCACAGAAAGGAAACATGTGCTTTGCTGATGGGACTCCAAGGCCCCTGATGCCCTCTCCCCCTCTCCCCTCTCCCTCTCTAGGTTCTGGCACTAGAGCAGTGTGTGTTGATCTCTATGAGACTATGAGAGAGGCAGGAGTGTGGCCTATGTTCTATGATCAAATGTGTCCGGCCATGCATAAGGTCTAGGCTTGTTTGAGAGAGAGAGAGAGAGAGAGAGAGAGAGAGAGAAAGAAAAAACGAACTGTCCAGTTGATCATACCATCTCTCTATGCAGGTGCAAGGAGAGGAGGCATGGGCTCATGTGCATAGGCTATGTAGGAGACCAAGCTAGCTAGAGAAACCTTGGGGCAAATTTTCTTTTACTATGTGAGAGTGAGACACTCGCCCACCTGAGAGGGCTGTGCCATCTTATAGAGAGAGGAGGGCCGGGGAGGAATACTGCCTGAGGTGAGGTGAGGTGAGGTGAGGTGAGGGAGAATACAAGGATCTGCACTATGGGGGGAAAAGTTGCGTGCATGTTGAGACGCTATTGGCTACAAGTGACCTAGTACATTTATTGGCCAGATGGGGGCGGCCATAGCTGCATAGACTGCAGTACGATGGACGTGCCTCCTTGAAATCCTTCTTCAGGAAACCGAAGACCGTGTATTTTTGTTACATCCATAGGAATTATTTGAGGTGTATTATTAGTATATAGATTGAACATTGTGGGAGGAGCTATCAAAACAAAGGACCAGTACGTGATGTACGTACGTAGTAGTGTGCAAACATGGTAGGGGACCGATGTGGTCATATGGGTTGGTTTTCCCAACATTATTAGGCATATGGGACCTGCTGTATGAGTTGTGATAGATAGATCCAGTGCATTATTAGTTATGTTGACTCATCATACAACGTGATCCATCAGCGAGTAAAAAATGTCCTCCGATACGAAATGTGTGATGGTTCCGGTCACTGAAGTGTCTTTATATTTATTAGCATACAATTTATAGCCGAATAAATAAATTGATAAAATAAAATGGTATAGATTTGACTTCAAAATTAAGTACTTTGATAAAATGCTACAATTTTGGTAGGTCTTGAACATAGGACGCAAATGCCAAAGTTTTGTACTAATCAGAGAGTTTGATGTCCAAAATATCACTTATGATGAATAAGAACGGGGGTTTGTCCTATTATATTTGATGGTAAAATTTCTCACAATCCCTTATTTTTCTGTCGGTGTGTCTTTGACATGTGCCATGTGGACCTAAAGGTGTAATACGTCAAAGCCGTACCCGATGGAAAATAAATATAATTGAACATGCATATTTGCAATTGAGAGTGGAGAATTGCCCATATTTATTAGTACGTAGTACTAATATGTCAATTTTAGTTAAAAAATTAGTACATCAATTCGTACACAGGCTAGCAATTTTAAATTATAGATAAACAATCAAAATTAATTAATTTCATGTTCAAGATTTAATTTTTCTGTGGCTCTGCCCACAATGACTTTAATTCCTCCGCAATTGTGTTGCACTGTTATGAATTGTAGCAACTAGCAAAATGGCTCTAGTTTCCTAAGCTTTTGCTAGAGGAACCGATGATGCTGGTGGATATGAGTTTTTAGGCACCCTCTGCTCTGCTATAGTGGCCTACAGTGATTAAGACAAAGTTGGATTGAGTCTGGCCAACAAACCCTTAGTATCAAAAGGGACGTGAGGTTTCACCTTTATAGTTGTATCCCATATGTCAGTCCCTTTTGGAATGAATGTTTCCAACCATTTGATTGAGGGGATGTTTGAATCTATGTTGCTATTGTTTGTTGCAAGCTATACAAAGCTAGCTAATAGCTTCTTAATTATTAGCTGAACTATTAGGTATACAAATGATTTGAACATTTTATTTGCTTGGTGTACAAACGTTGATGTATTGTACGTGTAACAACTTCACTTGCATGAAAAAACACAACATTTATTTGGTCTACACTTCAATAGTTTGTTTGTGGTAGGGAAACGTGAATTAAATAGGAAATACCAGAGAATAGTAGACTGAACAAAGTAGTTTTTATTTCTCTTTATCTTGGTTTTAAAGATGGCTTTGGACTATCTTTGGCTCGATCTTTCCTTCTCATATTAGTAGTTCACTGATCACTAGGCTCACCTTCGTTTCCGACCCCGAACGTGTGCTTTTGTGTGATAAGTTCCTGCACCATTGGTGGCAATAGTCCTTGTACTGACGACATCGACACTCATCTACATACACAAGTGTTGCAAGCATAGGGGCGGATGACCTAGAACCTTGTGTGGGTGGGTGGGAGGGGGTTAATCTATTCTTCTTCTTCTCCGCCTCCTGTCTCTCATTCTTCTCCTATGCTTGCACCCCTTTATTCCGATGGATGGGGGACGGGGGATGTGATAGGATCTAGATGGCTAGAGGGGGTGAATAGACTATAAAATTTTCCTACAAGATCACAATTGGCTAGAGCAAAGGATCCTAACTAGCTTCTACTTTGCTCTAGCTCCAATTCACTCAAGCAAGCTCCCTAAACAATTCTAGTAGCTTGGTCTCTAGGTTGAATCACACAAACACTCAAGCTGTTCTAGCAAAACTAGCTACAACTAGCAAGAGTGCTAGAACTAGCTAAAGCGACTAACAAGAGCAACTAAAACTAGTTACAACTACACAACTACTACTCTAGCTAGTCAAGAAACTACCACACTAACAAGATAGCTATGAATGTAAATGCAAGAGTGATAGATAGCAAACCACACGGGGCAAGTGAGCACAAGATATATCCCCGAGGTTTGGTTGCTTGCTCACAAGCTACACGTCCTCATTATGGTGAGTCCCAACTCAATGGTTAGAGCGCTAATTGGCCTCACACGCCAAGCCCACTACACAAGCACAACAAGAACCAACCGAGAAGTGCACTCCAACTAGACACAATTCCACTAGAGTTTCTATTTGCGATTCTTCTACGGGGAATGAGCATAAGAGCCTCTTGCAAGCAATCGATCGGAGCTGGGAACAATCACCAAAGCCGCTCAATGATCCTCTGCTGTCTCCAAGCCATCTAGGTGGCGGTGACCACCAAGAGTACCAAGAATCCCGCAGCTCAAATGATCACCAGTGCCACTAGATGCCTCAACTCAATGCAAATGCACTAGGATCATTCCTGATCTCACTTAGGATGAAGAAATCAACAAGGAGATGAGTGGGAGGTGTTTTCTTAGGCTCACAAGGTGTATCAATACGTCAAAGTCCCAAGAGGGACGGCCAAGGGCCGACCACCATCTATTATATATAGCCCAAAGTGAGCCATCCAATCATTACACTCACAACATCATTTTTGGGGGCATCTGACAGTCCGACGGTCAGCGTCGTCAAACAATACCGTGTCGTTCGATGTGCCACGTGTCGCCACCTGGTTCACTAGCGTTTGAAGATGCCGTTGGCGCCCAATGACTCTTTTACTTTGCTCTGGTTACTGGTTTGACATGACCCTGATCCGATGGTCGTCAGACAAATCAAGCCACGTGTCCGATGCACAATAGAGAGGTTCCAGAATGTGTTTTTCATCATTGGACATGCCCCACGCTAGCCATCGGACAAGTTCTCAGCGTCAGATGACCCTTGGTTGTGCTTGATCGGTGGGGCCCCTAAGTGAACAGTGCACCCATTATGTCTATTGAGCGTTGGATGGAAACAGTCGGACAAAACATCCACGTCCAATGTGACTCAATCGCTCGCTCGTGCGCGCCAGCCCAAGGTTTGGTCATGTAACACCCAAAAAAATTCATTCTTTTAAAATAAGTAAATTTGATTCAATTATGTTATTAAGTGTGCATTCAAATATAGGAAATTAATAATTTTTGGGAAATTAAAATCAAATATAAGGAATAGAAACATGTTGATGCATTCATGCTGCTGCACATTTGTTTTTGTAATGATTAGCTTTGACTAAAATTTGAATTGAATTCAAATTCAACTTGAAAATGAGTTTGAAAAATTTATTTGGAAAAAGAAAAAGAATTTCCTTCTTTTCTCCCTCCCTTCCTCATTTTCGCCCATTGAACCCTTTCTCTCCCTAACATTTTGCACTTTCTTTTCCCCCCTCCTCCCATTTTTCCTTCTGGGCGGCCCAAGAACCGTCATCTTGACCATCTTTATCACCACGCGAGCAACATAGCCGCCGCTTCCTTCTTCCCTCTCTACCAGTAACAACCCACCACCGCCTGTCCAGAGCCGCCCCAACCTCCTCACACATAACGTGTCACAGCACACCAGACCGCTGCCCTCTTGCTGCTCTCCTCGCTCGCGACGTGGGCACGTCGCCCTCCCATTCCTGGGCTCGTTTAAAGGGAACCGAGACCCCAATTGCACATGTCGACCCTACTGCCTCCCCATCTCATTTTCGCATTCGCCAAGCGCACGGGAGCCAAAACCGCCGCACGGAGGAGCACCGTGAACCGCCGTCCGCCCTCCACATGGTCCGCCGTCGACATCGATTTTCCCCGCTGTGAGCTTCGCCGTGCTCCCCTCTTTCTCCCCATGCCCTTAATTCCTAGTTTCACGGCCTCTAGGGCTCTATTCGCGTCTAACGCCTGATAGCTCCAACCACAGATATGGCGGCGATCGCCCGCCAAAGCCGCGTCCTCCGGCTGCCAACCAGACGGCCTAGCCAAGATCCCCTGCTCCCTCTCTCTCTCCCGGTGCTCTCAGTTCATCGAACCGTGGACCGTAGCCCCCGTACTGATCACTCCGGTGAGCTCCACGCCGCCGGCCATGGAGCCCAGAAGAACCAAAGCCACTGCTTCCGCCAACTCCTTCTCTCTCTCCTCCCCGAAACTAATCCGAGCCGCTGTTTCTTGATCCAAATAACCCACCGATGGCCGATACCCTTTCGCCCTGGCATAATTGCTAAAGAGACCCTGAGCTTTTCTAAGTCCTAACCCGTAGTCCAAAGCACATTTCCAGAGTACGCTTTCCCCTTTTGAAA